ATAATCAATGATTCACAGGGCACTAAAACTTCAGAAATTAAAATAAAGCAAGGAAAGAATAGAAAAGCTGTGAAACTAGGTGAGAAACAAGAGGTGGCCCATTAACAAGAGTCCATGGTGAGAAAACTCACAAAGGAGAATATTAGAAGTGGAGGAAGGATCGAATCAGCAGACAGCTGCACACAGAAAAGGTGCCAAATAGGCTTCTCCCCTCATCCAACTGGGAACCAGAAGGTTTTCTGAAGCTAGTACACTTTTTCTTTTCCTGTCATTAAAAAAAGGGAATGGGATCTTAAAAGGTTTGGCTAGCTGAAAACTACATCAGAGGGGAAACTATGTGGTATCAAGTGTCACAGCCACCACGGGACAAAGTGACGGAATTGTTCCTTGTATTTACATAGCTTTTTTCTCATAGGAGGGCAAAAAAGCTCACTTCTCAGAATTTCTAGGGAAAATATCTGGCATTGTGTTCTCTTTATCATCTCTGTTCGCCCTCTCATTTGGGCTTGGAATCTAAGGTTTCCAAGTTACAACTAGATTGTGGCAACTTCCAACCTCCTGAATATCCTCAACAGCTGTCAAGGGGGTGGATGCTTTTGCTTGATATCTCAGATTCAAAGGTTCTCTTTGGTAAAAGTTTTCTTTCTTTCTTTTTCCTTCTGTCTCAAGAAGGAAAAAAAACAGCAATAGCTTTGCGTAGTGCCATGGCATGACAGCTCACAGCAACCTCCAACTCCTGGGCCTAAGCATTCTCTTACCTCAGCCTCCCAAGTAGCTGGGACTACAGGTGCCCACCACAATGCCCAGCTATTTTTTTGGTGGTAGTTGTCATTGTTGTTTGGCAGGCCCAGACTGGATTCGAACCTGCGAGTTCTGGTGTATGTGGCTGGAGCCTTAGCCACTTGAGCTATAGACAGCGAGCCTGGTAAAAGGTTTCTAAGAAAATGCATTATTGTTCTAATTGTTTGATTTGTGTTGTCATTCTCAATTGTTTAATTTGCTAAATTTAATGCAGTGTAATTATTTGAAAGTGGATTTCTTTAAAGTGTGGTACTTTCTGAGTCCATAATTGGAGTATAGAACTCTAATTTGTCCTTTATCCAAAAGCATATCTTTTAGTTATTATTGTTTGGGGGTCTTTTTTGTTATTTGTTTATTTGTTTAGTTTTAATTTCAGACTAATATTAGACAATTAGGTCACAATGTTTGCATTCTTTAGGTAAAGTCCCTGTCATAATTGTGTCCCACACCCATGAGGTATGCCATATACCCTAACATTGTGCCCACCAATCCCCCTCCCTCCTATCCTCTCCCCTCTCCCTCCTTCCCTCAACTTGAATTGAATTCAGTTTTTCTCTTGTGTGGGCGTGTAGTAGATCATCTACTGGCTTCATATTAGTATTGAGTGAGTACACTGGATATTTCCTTTTCCATTCTTGTGATACTTTACTGAGAAGAATGTGTTTCAACTCCATCCAGGTTAATACAAAAGATGTAAAGTTTCCATTTTTAGAGTTGTTATCATTGTTGCTCTTTAGAAGCAGTAGTCATAGTTTCAGTAGAATGAGGTTTTAGATTTCAGTATGCTATGTTTAACTGACATCATCTTTTTGCAAATAAAGTTGATGTTAATAGCTATAATTGGGGTGACTAATCGTCTTGGTTTGTTGGGTCCTGAGAAGGTTTCTGGGATGTGGGACTTTTAGTTTTACAATGTGTCAGTCCCAGATAAACAGGTATAAATCGATCACCTGTGTGATATACTTAATTCTCTCAAAAAAAAAAAAAAACCCTAAAAAGCAAGCAGTATTTTCCCATTTTTCAGGTAATGTAAGATGCAAAGGTTAAAGCAATGTGTCTTGTCACAGCTACCTGGCAAAGGCTTGCTCTAAATCCAGGTCTGTCTGGTTCCAAAGCTTGTGCTTGGAACATTTCCAGCGGGCAGACCTGTGATATACAGATTTAAGAAACTGCCATATTGTGGTTGGGATTACAATCATATCTATTCTGTGACTGTTCCAGGAATTTGGTAGCCTTTGGCTCTTTACTTAGCAGTAGCTAAGTAGCTAAGTTGGATAGCCAACTACTGAATTTCTGCTTAGATGTGAAAGCTTAGAAGTGCAGACTGAAATAGAGAACAGAGGCATTTGGTGTGTATCATCTTTATAACCTTTTGTGAAACTTTTCTAAAGAAAAGCATTTCTGCAGTTTGGAAAGTTTACATTTCCATCCATTCTGGAAAGTTCTCCTACTTCCCAGAACTCTAAGGGGAATACTGCTGTCAATCTGGCTCATTTCAAAGAAGGGTTCTGTGTTTCCTTCCCCTGCCTCAGTCCTTGAAGCTTCTATGGAATAACACTCAAGGTGGAAGGCGGATGGGACTGGCCTCATACACACAGCGGCCACACTTTTCTTTAGGAAACAGAATCGTTTTGCCTTTGTTTCCTCTGTGTGTGTCAGTGATTAGCACACACAAGGTAGCACATGTAAAGTGGAAAGGCCAGTACCTACTCTTGGGAATACAATGCCTTAAAGCACAGGAGGAGTTGTAGATAGATAATCGGAGATGTATGGTGTGAAGATTGTGAGACTCTATATAAGTGCTCTGATTTGGGGAAAAAATAAACTCTTCAGAGTCTTTCCTAGCCCTTGGTGACAGTTCAGGCTTAGAATTGACCCCTAAGCAGTATTGCCTCCTAGTTGTTTTGTTTTGGTTTTTGTTTTTAAGACACATTTTCACTCAGTGGCCCTTGGTAAAGTGCCATGGTGCCATAGCTCACAGCAACCTCAAACTCTTGGGCTCAAGCAATCCTCTTGTGTTCAGCCTCTGGAGTAGCAGGGACTACAGGTGCCTGCCACAACATGGGGCTAGTTTTTTCTTTTTTCTTTTGTAGAGGCCCTACTCTTGCTCAGGTTGGTCTCGAACTCCTGAACTCAAGCAATCCTCCCACCTCAGCCTCCCAGTGTGTTAGGATTACAGGCGTGAGCCACACCACCCAGCTCTAACTACTGGTTGTTAAAGCAGGAGTCCACTGACAAAATAGCGAGCTTACTCATTTATTCAGCTACAGTTAAGGTGAGAGCCCACTCTGTTTCTGAACCTCTCTGGGCACTGGGCACCCAAGGAGGAAAATAATGAAATCCTGTCATGTGAAATCAACAGATAAGGCACACACTCAGAATTATCCTTGGACATTTTTCCCTCACATCACCCATAAAGTATTATCTTAGGTCAGATTCCCCAGAAGCACAGCCTGAGCTAAGAATTCTTGTGGAAGTGACAGAAATGTACTCTCAGGTGAAACCTGCCCGTGGAGAAAGCAGGGCAGGGCAGGGGACCAAGTCCAGCAAATACAAAAACTCAACTCAACAGCTGCAGTCCGGCTTCAGCCTAATCACAGGGGTGCTCTGGAGCATGCATGGCTCATAGATTTATACCCCCTGGAGGCAAAAGGGCCAGCTTTTTGTTTCCCTAATAGTCATTGGCTATGGGCCTCTCCGGGAATTAGAGTGTAGCCTATCAGCATTCCTGGGGGAGGTGGCTCCCATCAGATGAGAGCAATTCAGAGGGTGTCACAGGAGCAGTTAGCAGCCAACACCCAGAGCTGGGGAGGTGGGGATGCTCTGCCTGAGTCCAGGGAATATGGAGTGGGGTGTCGCCAGCAGCCACACAGGTACACAGGATTTACGTGACATGATAGAAACCTACATATATTTGTTTGTTAACAAATACAACAGAACAATTTATTTTTAGCCAGTGTGCCACAGTTCACCATTTCTCTGAGTGTGCTACAGATGAAGTAGTTGGCTTATGTTCAGGGGCCATGTTGTATGAAAAACATGCATCTCTCAACCCCCAGCATGGGAAGATGCTCACACCGTGAGGGCTACCCTGCAGATCTGAGATGGAATGTGTGTCCAGGAAGCAGCCTGTGAGATTTCAGCATGCAGGATGTTTATTAGGAGGTGCCCTTGGGGTTGACATCTGTGCAAAGGGATGGAAGCAGGATAGAGCTGAGGGAGAAGCTGAGCCATGATACTAGCTGAAACCAGCTCAGCTGCCCCTGCCCCAGGAGAGCTCTGGCACTAAGTGGTCTGTAAGAGCTGACCTGTTTGGGGTCCACATGGCCATGACGTACACACCTCTATGTACCACCTCAGGAAGGGCAGGAGCATGGGTAAGGAGGCTCTCTGCAGGTGAGGCTACCCTTGAAGGGTCAGCTGGAGGCTGTTTGCTGACTGTTCTCCCTGCGATGGGGATTGGGCAGTCCAGCTACGGTGGACACAACCTACAAAGCTCACCTCCTGCTCATTCCCAGTGCACAGTCATTGAGTGGAAGGCATAAAGTTCGCCCCTCACTAGTCAAAGTGGTTTTCTCTTTGGAGAGAGTGAAGGTGGGAATTGGGCACAGATAGTGGAAGAACCTACAATTAAGTTAATGCTTTAATATTTAATATTAATTCTGGACTTTTATCATTGATCACTTAGAAGGGGAAAGCCTATCCTTTTTAAGTGTTTTTTTCATTTTTGTTTAGTGACAGGCATTACCTTATTTAATCCTTAAAATAACCTTATGAAGTTTATTCTTCATTTTATAGATGAGCACTAGAAGAACTAGAAAAAACTTGCCCAAAGTTAAATTATATAATCAGTGTTGGAACCAAAGTCTGTATGATTTCAGAGCTCAGACCGTTAACCACTCTTCCAAAGCCAGGATGAAACCTTTCATATTGCCCTTTGATGGACCTTAGCTAATCAATTCATTCATCTGATAATTCAACCCATGCCTATGGTTTGGGTTAGTATCACAGATCCATCAGAGAGACTCTGAAACAGAGGATATACACATGTGTTCTTGTGGGCCATCCTTCCTGCCTCTCTGTGTGTGTGCATACATATGCGTGTGTGTATGTGTAACAACCTCAAGTGATTAATGCAAATTCAAGGACCTTTGGATATTTCCTAGTAACTCAGTGCACTATTTTAAACTTTCCAACAGGCTAAAAAAGATGGGAAGAGAATGTCTGCAAAAGAAGTCACCATTAATGTTACAGACAGCATCCGACAGATGGACAGAAGTCGAAGAATCACAAAGAACTGTGTCAACTAGCACAGTGTCCAAATGCAGAGCAGATGGACTTCTCTGTTGCCCTTCACAGTCCTGGATCTGATCATGGAACCTTGAGGAAGTGGATGCTTCTTGCTGAACCCGAACGCTGCCGAGTGCCCAGGGAGATTGTCTCACCTGGCAGCAAACAGCTGCTTGAGTTGTTGAGACCTTCTGAGCCTCCTGTGATCACGCCAACATGTTGGCACAGTGCTCACATAGCCAAATAAACTTCAGGCTGCAGTTCAGTTTGCCTCTTTGCACCTCCTGCAGTGGGGTCTGGCGGTGAGCTAATGCTCCAGATCAGTGTCTAAAATGGACAAGCAGAGAGCGCGGTGAAAGGTTCACACCTCAGCACTAAGCTCTCCTGGCCACAAAAGTGTGTTCAGTTTCAGGCAAGCTTATTCTTTCCTTTCTTCTTTTTAAATATCCCCATCACAAAACCTGCTGTGTTCACTTAAAAGCTGGCTCTTCACCCAACTCTAAACATAGATGAGAAATCAAGGAACAGGACCACTCCCTCCTGTCCTTGTTTCCTTAGCTCTCAGTATGAGACAGACCAGGTCCACTCTCTCACTTCTGAACTCCCTTCACACCTGTGGCATGTCTTTGGGAGGTTGCTGTGATACAGCCACTCCTGCTCCTGACCTGCCTGGGAAGTCCTCTACGCTGGCATCCATGTCGGCTTCTAGACCATAATGTCACCTTCCTTGGGGCCAAACTAAGATGTCCCTCAAGGCTCAGCCAGTCATTGAAGTTTTTCATAACTGTCCAGTCCCCTGTGCTTATGTTCTTGAGAGACCTCCCTCTCCATTTGGGTCCTTTGCAATTGTCAATCGAGGACTGGACACTGCTTGTAAGAGGGAGATGATCCAGGGACATGTGGCAGAGCACACAGATTCCCCTTGGCCTCTCTGTACACAGCCTGAGGACTATGTCCTTTTGGCATCTGCAAAGAAATCACTTGAGAAAGCCCATACTTGGTTGATGTGTATTCACATTGACATGAGATTGTATGCACTACATTAGAAATCAAGTAGCTGACACAGAAAGAGGATGTTTTGATAGGAATAATTTTCTAGCATTTCTTTAAACATGTTCAACTAGAACTATTTTCTTCAAAAATAATATAGCATGTTTTTTAAAGGACTGTTAACATGCCTGGGATTGGGAAAGGTAGGACTAAAGTTGTACCAAACTATACCAATAAACTCCACGTTTAGCAGAAATAGGCAGCCTGATGGTGTGTGTTTCTATAACATCCAGAGAACTGACATAGGGTTTAAAGGTCAGATACTCAATCTCCTTCTCTGCTAACACTGTTATTCCTCCAACAAAAGTGGTTAGTATCTTCTTTCTTTCCTTCCTTCCTTCCTTCCTTCCATCTTCCTTCCTCTTTTCTTTTCCCTCTTCTCCCCTCCCCTCCATTCCTTTCCTCCTCCCATTCCTTCCTTTCTTCTTTCATGAGTAGATTGTATATTTATTCATTAAACAGTAAACACCCTCCTGTGCCAGGCACTATGCAGATTCGAGGGGTTTGGCATCTGGTCAGTCAGGACCATATATCCTGAATTTATCAGTAACTTCGTAACTAGGAGACTGACCTAGACCCTATGGTAAAGTGTGCTTTGTGAATTGCTCTGCGGTGGAATCTCACTTTTCTATTCAGGGAAGGTTTGTACCTTGAACTGGGTGTTCTCCTAACCACTACATAACCCTTTACCATACACGTAACTACAGTTTTCCTAAACTTTTATCATTTTGTGATTCCTTTAGAAAGGGCTTTTAGGGAACTTAATACTCTAAAAATTTTTTTCAATAATAATAAAATAAAAGCAAACCTGTGGCTCATTTGCCTCCACTGGCATTACTCAGCAGGAGCCTCCAACTACCAGTGGTTGGCAATGACCCTCCAAGTTCAAGGGCTCTCTCTCCCAGGGCATGTGAGTTATTTTTGTGTGAGGTGTTCCTCAGCCACTGGCTGAGCCTCTTTACAGCTTTGTCTCTGCATCAATTCATCTCTGCTTGTTGTTTGGTTTTTATCACCTTGAAAAAGTGTCTCTGTTTTGTATAGAAACAGTTTCTCACCTCTAGGGGGGAGGAATTACAAGGGCCTAGGATCTAGCCCTCCCCAGAACAATCTGGATTCCACCAAGATAGTAACTATAAGTTGAACCATGTTACTGAAAATTCATCTGGCAAATTTTTCACATGTGTATGAGACAGAAACTGATTCTTACTATCCTATTAGGTATCACTTTTCAACACAAAGTTTGTGTCAATAAAGTTATTAATTTCAAATATACATGGGTGGTTACAGAGAATCTTTACTGGAAACTTAAATTTGTATGTAGAGCTGTTTAGACTCTCTCTCTTCCTCCTTTTTTTCTTTTTTTAACATAAGTGATACTGTGAAAAAGCCTTGTGAAGTAGGTAAAGAGAATGTGATTAGTCTTCTTTTACATGCATAGAAATACTTTTATACAATCCACCCAGCTAGTAAGTAATGGTGCAGGGACTCCAGAGAGGGAAGCCTGCCAGCAAATCAGGCCCTTCCCCATCACACACCTTCCATGGCAGGATGGCTGGCTGGGAGACTAAGCCTTTTACAGAGGAATTGCCATGGTGCCTAAGATTGAGCTGAGCCCAAATCTAAGAGGGCAATTTGGATTATTGGAGAAGGCCAGAGAGAGAAGTTTGGACAAGGCTGTTAGAGATTGCAGAGGGCTGGGAGCTCTCGAGGACTCTGGGGTGGTCCAGGCTCATCTGGTCCTCCAGAGAGGGTGATCCTGGCCTGGTGTGAGAGAGTGACTTTGGTGGAGGTCTGAGTATGGATAAGGATTTCACAGTTCAGAGACGGAAGTTGTACCCCTTAGAATAACTACTTAGACCTAAAGGTAGGGGAAGCCAGGGACCACCCCTGCTGCTGCTATTCCCTGAACACTCCTTGGATGTGTAGGTGGCCCCCCATCCCTGCTGCCCCCCTCTGCAGTGCTCCCTATGTCCTGCCCAAATGCACCCCCTTCTGCAGTCCATGTCTAAGCCCTGCTAACCTTCATGTTCTGTGATCTTCACTAGCGCCTCTTGCTGGCTGCCTGCAGACTTCATCCCATCTCTCTCTGCTCTAAGAAGGGCTTAAAACACTGGCAGCTTCTGTGCTGAAACCAGGTAACACACCTGATGTTAACACTTGGGAATTCCACACCAAAACCCAGATCTAGCCAAGACTCCTAGTTTAGAATTCAATATCCATCCTTCCCTTACTCAATAGCTAGGTGTATGTCCAGAATCTTAGAATAAAGATTACACTTTCCAGCCTCCCCTTACAGCTAAGTGAAATCAGGATTCCAAAGTTTGGGGGGCTTGCAACAGGGTTCTTGGCTAGATAGGGTAAAATGGGGTTGGAAAAGTTTTGGGGGAGGTAGTGCCAGTCAAGAGAACCATTTTGGACCCATTAAGTATGAAATATCTGAGTAGAGGTGTCCAGGAGGCAGCCGGACACATCTGTATGTAGGTCAGGGATGAAGAGAGGAATCTGGGAGTCATCAACACATAGAGGGTATTTCACACAAAGGGATTAATTTGTCTGATAAGGGGCTGGAGAAGAGAGCCTAGGACTGTGCCAGGAGATACTCCAACATTCCAAGAGTTAGTGGTAGAGAAAAAGTCAGCATAGGATACTGAGAAGTGGTGAGAAAGTTAGGAAGAAAACTGGGAGATCGTGAACTGAAGCCAAGGTAGAAAAATGTTTCAGGAAGGAAAAATGGTCAGTCACGGCGAATGCTGTCATGAGGACAGAAATCTGACTGCAGCTAGCACCAAAGAGGTTACCAGTGACCTTGACAAGAGCAATTTCAGTGAAAGGTGGTCACAGAGGTCAGCTAGGTGGGCCCTGATTGAGTATCAATAATGTCTTTGTAAGATAAGGATATTAGGACACAGACACACACAAAGGGAGAAGAAACCAGCCTTGATGTCAGACTTCCAGCCTCCAAGATTGTGAGAATATAAATTTCTGTTTTTTAGGCCAACCAGTTGATGATGTTTTATTATGGCAGCCCCTAGGGAACTAATACTGTGCCCTAGAAAAATACTTGCAGATTCTTATTATATAAACCAGGTGTTTGTGAACAGTGCTGACTTTTAGAACTTACTTCATAGAAGCCAGAATGACAGAGGACAAAGGTACACGGGACTGAAGCAGACAGTGTGCTGCGTCTCCCCGCCCCTCGGCCCCTTTAGTCACCATCTGACTTGCAGCCACAACACCTCCTTGGCCAGAGGGCTTCACCTTGCCACTGCCACTGCAGGAGTTGCCAGGGCACCGGCAACTGAATAAGCAAGCGATGCTTATTCACTCCTCCCCCCATCCCAGCTTCTGTCAGGCAGAGACTGCTGGGAGCTCCCCCAAGACTGCCGGGTGGTGTGATGCTCGGGTATGTGCTCTCTACAGGCTCCTAGAATTTCTCCAGATTAATTAAGTTCCAGTTACCCACCAAATAGCTGGCTTACTTTACTGGATACTTTTCTGATTAATTTTAGAGTAGATGCAGTCTTCAATAGGAACAGCATCCTCTCCCCTCTCTTTTTCATTATCACAAACATCATCTTTTCTAAGACCCAGTTTTCACCAGTAGACAGTTCGCCTCCTTCTCCCTAGCATGAGATATACATTCTGCTATCACCGATTTATAAGTGTTCCATCTATATTGTAATACATAGTTTAGAAAAGACTTTAAGACCAATAAATACACTTGATCTTAGCCAAAAGGCCAAGAAACAATGGGACCAATAAAGAAATAAGCAGATGTTTTCTGTTTTGTTTCGAAGGGAATCTCTGATATATCCTAGATAGAAGAAGTGACTTGGAAAGGTGCCCCAAAAGATGTCTTAACACAAATGATAAACTATGTGCTTTCAAGGGACCAGCAGGTGATACAAATGAATTTTATAGACCGCCGGGGGGGCAGTGTGACCTGGAGGGAGCATGCATGTCACACTCAAGGATACCAAAGCTTGGAGAGAGGGGGAAGCTTGGCAAGACAAACAATTGCACCAAGATTTTGTGACCCACTCTATAGGCTCACAATTGGTCTCATTCAAAGAACATTTCCAGATTCCTGAAATATATATCTGATAACTGCTTATAATTGGTATATCTGATGACTGCTTATAATTAGCTTTGCCAAAGTGCTTTTGCTATTTGAACTTGTTTCCCTCACAGAAGCCCTCTCCT